AGGAGGATGTACAGAAAATAGTCCAACCTCACCAGGAACCTCATGCAGAAAAAATTGTGCTTGGTTGAGCTCTGCCTGGGCCAGTGTGGGCTGAGCAGCTCTGGCTGCCTTTTGGCAAGCGTGCTGAAACAGAGCTGGCACTGGGGTGGGATTGAGATAATGGGCAGGTGGAGCAGCTTTGGCTGCAGTGGGGTTGCTGGAGCAAGTGTTTTTAGAGGTCTGTAGGGGTAGATAGGGGATGAGCTGGGGTGAGGCTCAAAGTTTTTCAACTGTATAAAAAAATACTGGCAAGACTTCCACACTTTTCAGCTTGAAATTCATAGCTGAATAGCAAGAAGAAAATGTGCATAATGCAGCGGATTGAAAAAAAACCAGTTTTTTTCTTTAAAAAAAATGCTTTTGAATGTTTTAAACAGACTTATTTTTCATATTGCTCCCTTTTTAGTGGTTATAAACACTTCGGTTATGGATTCTTGTTTAAATGGAAAACTTCAATGGCTTTTTGATAATTTAAACGTAGAGGAAAAGAGGCCACAGCTGTTCGATTTAAGAAAACAAAAAGGCATTGTCAGTTTTTCCAGTGTTGAAGGGGAGATTTTTCTAGGGAAAAAAATCCCATTTTTCAGCAAAATCATTCTCCACCCAGTTGCAATCATAGCTCCAGCTGTTCTGCTTTGCTTTCCTAAACTTATTGCTTGGGGGCGCTGGGGGGATTAATGCCCCTGTGAAAAGCATTTGGCAACCTGATACTAAAGTGATGAATCTCTCAGGTCACAAATAGGATAAATTCAATCCTTCTTGCAGGATTTGGCAGAGGGGATATTTTGTGAGAGGAAGAGCCTCTGTGATGAGCTGGAAGATGGCAGGTGTACAAAAAATATAGCGGAAACTGGGAATTGTTTGTGGGGTTTGTAACTGGCTCTTTTTTCTTGGGTGTCTGATTTGTCCAGGAGTTAGGAAATAGGACAGTCTAGAAAGAAATTTTTTAGTGTTGCTGCTGCTGTTGTTAACTCTTTGGCATTGCTGTAACCAGCGTTGGTACATTGTCAACAAAAAAAAGAGCATGTGCATTTCTGCCTCGTGAAATTATTAGCTGCTGGATGTCTAAAAGTCAGCAGCAGGTTTGTCCATAATTTGCAGTTGGGTGTTTCATGCAAGGACTGTTCCTCTGCAGTCTGTGTATCCAGGCTCAACATGGTGTGGGATGAAGACACCGAGTCTTGCTTTAACTCACATGTATTTGATAGGCTTCTCCTCTTCCTGTGCTAGCAAATGATGCTCTGGGGTGTCCAGGCTGGTGATGGTCTGGGCAGCCCAGGCTGGGCAGGGTTGTCACTCTCCCCTCTGAGTTTCCCAGCTGTGGGAGCATCCTGCAGGGAGGTGCCCTGGGATGGGGATGTCAGGCCCCATTCTCTCAAAGCTCATCTCTTTTGCTGACATCTCCGTCGGTTTTCAGGCTCACCTCTTGAGCGTAAGCCACGAGTTGCTGTTGAGACTCAGTGCTCAGGTTCCTCTTCCAGAGGCTGTGACCACGCTGGGATTTGAGGCTGAGCTCGGGTGATGCTGGGGTCACCCTTGATGTGTCCTGCTGGGGAGAGGGTGGCCCTGGCACCGAAGTTCTCTCCGTTTGCAGGTGGCACCCAGCGGCGGGTCGGGCGGCGGCCGGCTGAACAGCCGGAAGGAGGCAGGGCTCCTGGCTGCTGTCACCCTCACCCAGAAGATCGTGGTGTGTCTCTCGGACACCACGCTGATGGACATTCTCCCCAAGATCAGCCAGGAGGTGCTGCTGCCAGTGCTGGGCTTCCTCACTTCGCCGGCCGTTGGGTAAGTGCTGCAGGCTGCGGTGTCTCCAGCCAGGATCTGCACAACTCAGAATTGGGGATTTGGAAACAGTTCTGTGAGGGGCTCAGTGCTCCTGGGGCTGTGGGGCTGCTCCTGCCCTGATGTGCACCTCTTTGCACTGGTACCCAGCACGCAGAGCTTGTGCTGCTCCAGACCTTCTGATCACACAAACAAGGCAGGAAGCATGAGGCAGAGGAGGGGGAAAAGGGATATTTGGAGGGCAGGCTGGTAATGGATGTTCTCACCAGTTTCCCCAGTGGTGCCCAGGCCCGTATTGTCCTGTGCGTTAAGACAATCAGCCTAATTGCCTTGATCTGCCTGCGGATTGGGCAGGAGATGGTGCAGCAGCATTTGAGTGACACCGTGAGAAACTTCTTCGGGGCATTCTCACTGCTGCAGGAGCTTCAGGACCAGGTCAGTGAGGTGGGAGAGGTCCTCCTGCCGTCCCCCAGCGCCCAGCTGCAGGGTTGTGGTGGGTGTACCTGCATACACCACTACTGGTGTCAGCAGCATCCAGCCCAGGCTGTGTTTGTGCAACAAATTACATAGGGAGAGCATCTGAGCTCGGGTATCTTCCTGTTTTCTCTTGCCCAGGGGTTGACAGTGGAGTCACTGAGCAGCTGTGAGGTGCCGGTGATGGAGGTGCCCCTTTCGGATGGGAAGCTGCTGGCCCTGGACCCAGCTGTGCTGATGGAGTTACAGAAGGTGTTTAACCCTGAGATGGCCTACATCACCTACATCCCCTTCTCCTGCTTGCTAGGTACGCTTGGCCACCACCTCTAGGATTTGTCAGAGAGCTCCATGCTCTATGCACATGTGCTGCACCTGAACTCAGGAGAACTCAGAGGGCGTGCTGGGGGAAACCCACAGCTTGGTCTACTTGTTGGGTCAGGAGCCCACCAGGCTTCAGGGTGCTGTGGTTGGCTTGTGAGGGAGGTGTTCATAGCCCTGTGCTGACCTCTGTCCTGTTCTTTATGGTGGGGGTTGAGGATGGAGAAATTCCTCCCCTTGAAGCCACCTTCTCTCTCTTCAGGTGATGTTATCCGGATGGTTGTGCCCAATCACTTGCTGGTTGAGAAGCTGGCCAGTCTCTACCTGGAGAATGTGAACCCCAAGAGCCTGCAGGTTGTTAGCCTGGAACAAACGCCAGCTGGGGTGGGCTCCGACCAAGACACACGAGGGACCGAGCCCTTCTCTAGCCACCACGAGGACAGTCACTCTGGTACTTTTGGGAGCATGCTGGTGGGGAACCGCATCCAGGTCCCCGTGGACACACAGCGTGAGGGCCTTGGCTTACTTCGCCTCAGTGCTGGCACTGATGGCTTTATTCCCAGCTCATCCAGTGAGGAGAACACCCTGAAGCACGACCTTCCCCGCAGCACCCACACGCTGTGTGGGAACTGGCTGGCCTACTGGCAGTACGAGATCGGGGTGAGCCAACACGACCCCCGCTTCCACTTCCACCAGATCAAGCTGCAGAGTTTCTCAGGGCATTCAGGGGCCATCAAGTGTGTGGCGCCGCTGGGCAGCGAGGACTTCTTCCTTAGTGGCAGCAAGGACAAGACCGTGCGCCTGTGGCCCCTGTACAACTACGGGGACGGCACCAGCGAGGTGCCCCCGCGCTTCACCTACGCCCAGCACAAGAAGTCAGTTTTCTTTGTGAGCCAGCTGGAGGCATCGCAGCACGTGGTGAGCTGTGATGGGACCGTGCACATCTGGGACCAGTTCACCGGTAAGAAGGGGAGGGCTGAGGGCTGGCTCCAGTCCTTAAGGACATTGAAACTCCACGCTGAGTTTTGGTGGCCTGTTAAAAACCAGTGCGGAACTGGAGATGAGCTGTGCAGCTTCTCCGTGCATCTGCTTGTGTCACCTCTCTGTCACGTTTTCACAGGCAAACTTCTCCGGACTTTTGATGAGTTAGACAGCAAAGTCCCTGTCACAGCTGTGGCCACCATGCCACCTCCCTATCACAGCATCTCCGTGGCCAGCGCAGACTCCGTGCTGCGGTTCATCGACCAGAGGAAGCCAGGACTGCAGGTAGGGAGTCGTGCTCAGTGGTGTGATCGTGGCTGGCCCAAAGCCAGCTGTGATGCCTCCGTGAAAGCCAGCTGGGCCTTGTCCCCTGACTGCTGGGCCCTCTAGATCTGTGTCCCCACGGTAGCTGGACTCTCCCTTGCAGCACGAGTTCCGCCTGGCCAGCGGGGTGAGTGCGGGGCTCATCCGCTGCCTGGCCGTCAGTCCGAGCGGGCGCAGCGTTGTGGCTGGCTTCTCCTCTGGCTTCATTGTGCTGCTGGACACCAGGACGGGACTCATCATGCGAGGGTGGCCTGCCCATGAGGGGGACATCCTGCAGATCAAGGTGAGAGGGATCAGGGCGGAAGGTCTCGTTGACCCTTTGAGGCTGCGTGGAGCATCCTTCTTGCTTCTGGCACACGCTGCTTGGCAGGGCTCGTCTGCTCCATCCTCTGGGTGTTCCTCTGTCCCTCGCTGGGTCCCCAGAGCTGCTCGATTCTCCTGCCCTGTGGTTAGTGCTGTGGGTGGCTGTTCATGGTTTGGCCTGTGCTGAACAGAGATCAGCCCTCCCAGGTGTCAGTCCCTGCCAAGCAGGTCTGCAGCAGGGGTGGGGAGGAGACACATCTCCCATGAAGAAGCGAAAGTGTTGCTTTCTCCACAGGGCTCTCAGCCCCCCTGGGAGAGTGTGACTCTAATGAGTAACTCTTGTCCATATTTACCCACCCTCAGGGAGCAGCGTTGGAGTTCGTGTCCTTGACCCAAACGCAGGTTAAACAAAGTTCAGTGGTGTGGGTTGTTTACTAGGTCTGCTGATAAACAGCTCCAGGCTTCTCCTACCCTCAGCTGTGTCTTCTGCCGTGAGAGAGCCTCCCAGTTCCTTTTCTGAGAAGGAAAATAATCTGGCAGGTGGTTTGCTGGGGAGGGAGACTGTATGAGAGTCTCTTTATCCACTGCAGTAGTAACATGATAAATTAGTTGTGCTGAGTATCAGGATGTTGTGGAGAAGAGATACAGCTCATCTCTTGGAGACCAGTGCTAGAGGAGCTTGCCAGCTACCAGAGAGTCCGGTAGTCCACCAGATGCCTTGTTACTATTGCTCAGTACCATCAGTTGCTTGGAAATGGCTGGGACTGTCCCAGGGGATTGCACTGGGACTGCTGGGCTATTGGCAGCTATCTGCTAATCTCAACTGCAGGATGAAATTGGGAGTTTTTACTGCAGCTGGTAAAGGTTCACTGACCTTTCCTCTTCTGCAGGCTGCAGAGGGCAATGTGCTAATCAGCTCCTCTTCGGATCATTCCTTGACTGTCTGGAAGGAACTGGAGCAGAAACCTTTGCACCACTACAAATCTGCATCTGAGCCCATCCATGCGTTTGACCTCTATGGCAACGAAGTGGTCACTGGCACTGTGGCCAACAAGATTGGTGTCTACTCCATGCTGGAGTCCTCAGCCCTGCCCATCAGCACGACCAAGCTGAGCTCGGAGAATTTTCGGGGTACACTGACCAGCCTGGCAGTGCTGCCCACGAAATGCCATCTCCTGCTGGGCTCAGACAACGGTGTCGTACGCCTCCTGGCATAGTGAGCCCTGGCCCAGGAGCCAGGGGCTGTCCCACAGTGCTGGTGGTAGAGCAGAAAGCTGGCAGTGCTGCTTACAGAGGAGGCCGAGTTAGATGCTTCTGAGCAGAGGGTGCAGGGAGAAGGTGTGCTTGTTAATGAGCACTCAGTAAAGTATCTCTAACCTCTTTCTGTATCTTGAAAAAGAAAAAAGCCATAACTGAGAAACCTGCACTGCTGCTGGGAGAAGTACTGGGCATTGTAGGTCACTGTCACCCCTGCAGAGAGGCCTGGAGCTTGCCATACCATGTGTGCCTGATCCCCAGGGGGCTGTGAGCTGCCTGCCAGAGTAATATGGACCACAGGCATCCTCCCCCCTTCAGTTAGGGGTTAAGAGGTGCCCCTTGACAAGAACACAACAGTTTAGCTACTGCTGTCTGCACTTACCCTTCACTTCCACTCCTGAACCACTGAACAGTCTTACTAGGATAGCATAAGCTGGGCCTGGGAACTGCCACTTTTGGAGCTGTGTGGTGCTGGGCATCTCCTCCTGCTGTGGTCTCTGTTCAAAGCCCAGAGGATGTATTCTATTAACTTTAGGATCTGCCGGCTGAGTTAGAGCCTGTATGGGAGGAGGAGAGGTTAACTAGAGCACTTCTGCTGCCTTACTGGCTCCAGGGCAAAGACGAGTGGAAGTCAGCCAAGGCACAAACCCCATCTGCTCCGCCAGTTCATTTAGGAATGGGCTGCTGCAGAGGAATGTTTGGGATGGGAATGTGACCCTCTAGGGATGCCAGAACTAGATGCTTCCATGAGGATTTTGGCTTCTGGAGCAGTGGGGTAGGGATGGACTGTTGTTGGTTGCTGCCCCAGCAGCACTGCATCCCTGACCAAGGGGTGAGGAATGCCCCGTGTGCCATGCACTCGTGTTTCTCAAGAAATCCTCCTTCTAATCCTCTCCTTTGTGCTGGTCAGACTCCTGGGGAAGGTGGGACAGCAAAAAGGTGCTCGCATTTGTCCCCTCCTGCCCTTGTAGGGTGAGAGCCAGAAGGCATGATCCAGCATAGTCTCTGACTGACCTTCTTTTTGGGACAGCACTGTCTGTTCCCACCCCAAAGGCGAGGAAAGTGCTCTCTGACCCAGCAGTAGGAGCAGTTGCCTCACTTCTATTGCAGCCCGTTTCCCATCCATCCTGCAGATTACTCAGAGCCAGTATCAGGGGAGCGGGAAGCTCTTATCTTGGGCAGAGGAGGAGCCTGCTGTGGGTTGTCCTGGGAGGGGGAAGGGCTTTCATCCAGCTGCTGGTTCATCTGAGCCTCCTGCAGTTGGGAAGGCCACCCTCTGCTTCCAGGGCAGCAGGGGAGGTGGGTGGTTGGCCCCTGCTCTCCTTCCCTACCCAAGGGGAGCTCTCAGTCCCGCGCTGCCTATTAACCATTTGCAATAGTTGTAAATATTTCCTTCTAATAAACTCTTTGAAAGAGCTGCAGAGACTGGTGTGGGGGCAGCTCTGTGTGGGGGGGTGGGTGCGTGTGGGGCTGGGGGTGCTGGTGGCAGCTCTCTTGATCTGGCAGCCAAAACCAGAGCTCTGTGTTTGGGCACCTCTCGTGCCCTTGGCTGAGCTGGAGGAGGGGTGCTGGGAAGATGCCCTGGATGTAAGGTAGGACTCTGCAGCACAGGGCCTCGGATCTGCTTTCCAAGGGGAAGTGGTTGCCCATGTTACAGCAGCAGGTCCCCCAGCTTCTGGTTGCAGAGCTCAGACCTGTCTCCTTTACACTCCCTCCCGGTGCCTGGGGTGAGCTTGGGAACCAAGAGCTGCTGCAAGGAACAGATGACTGCAAGTGTTGCAATCCTGTTGGTGTTCTCCACTGCTCCTCAGTAACTCCCCTTACACTGAGGACTTGGACAGAGCCAGGAAGGATCATGATCACTTCTCCATACAGCACAAAATCACACAGGACAGGACCACTGGAGTCCTGCCCATCCCCAACACTCTTCCCCTGTGCCACAGCAGTGCATGTGTGCTGTGGAGTCTGGCACCAGGGGCAGCTCTCCTGGCAGAGCTCTGGTGTGTGCTGTGCTGTGCCCCAGGGGAGGTACCAGCTGCTCTTGGCCCAGCCCAGCCTGAGCGTTGCTGCCACGGGGCCTTGGGCACCAGCCATCTGTTAAAAGCAGTGCCTTGTGCTTGCTGCAGCAGAAGCAGCTGGGAGTAAATATCTGGGGGGTTCTGCAAAGAAAATTCCCAAAACAGAGAAAGCCCCTTGGCAATAAATATCAAGCCCTACATTTTCACTAAAGGTTATGAATAAAAGAGCACATTCCCAGCACAGAGTACCTGGAAAGCAGAGCCACTGCTAGGGACAACTGGCTTCACATGTGACTTCTGCTGATGGGAGTTTCAGAGCTGGTCAACTTGGTGTTAACAATGTTAACAGCAGCCCAAAGTGGCTCCCTGTCTCCAAATGCACCAAAGATTCACTCATCCCCCAAACAAATGTTTAACTGCATGCTGTAGGTCAATATTTGCCTGCCAAATTCTCAAACAGGGGGTGGTGCCAAAGGTCTCCACTGGCGGGCAGGAGAAGAGAGTCTCTTGACTGCATTTGCCCCACGCAGAGCTATTGCCCAGGCTAAAGCAGGTGCCAGCTCCAACGTGGACATGAACAGTCTCAGGTAAGGGACAAATAAATGAAGATTTGGCAGTAAATGGGGGCAAAGGAAGGTGAATTTGGCAGAGGATTGAAGGGTACGTAGCACCAGGGAGGAAAGGGGTATTCAGGGTTATAGGTGGCTGCAGGATTTGGGGTGAAGGAGGAGGTAAAATGAGGTGACCTCAAGTTTTACTTCTTCCACTTGGCAACTGAGGTCACAGCCCAGCAGTTTTGGGTGAATGCAAGGACTGTTCAAGGGAATGGAAAACAGCCCCAAGAATGAAGTGCATGGCAGCAGTGTTGAGAGCTGAGCTTTGTCATGGGGGCTTCATGTTAAGGAAAAGATAGGTTATTTCTGTTCGAAAGGGAAAAGTGGCTGGGAGAAGCAGTGGCCAGGGAATGGGTGGGGGTTTATCCATGGCCCTGGAAGCCCTGCTCCCACTGTCCCATACAGGAACTGGAGGGCGGGGGTGGAAGAGGCTGGGTTTGCCAGCAAGGGGGAAGGCGAGTGCTGGGAAAGGGAGGACTCTCTATCCCAGAACATAGTGCTGAGAAACTGCTCTGGTACTGCATTTTCTACCTGGAAAGCCCCTCCCAGACAGAACTTTGCTGAGTGCCTGCAGCCCCACTGAAGCAGGTTAGTATCCCTTCTCCCAGGAGCCCAGGGCACAGCCACGGATGCTATGCCCATACCTTGGTGGTTTGCATGGGAAAAGAGCAAAGGCTCTTATATTCTTCCAGAGAAAGGAAAGGCTCTCATCTTCTTCCAGAGGCACAGTGTGTGCAGGACTGATTAGGGAAATGCCACTTGCATCCCAGAGAAATGAGAGAGATGGGGTCGGGAACGCGGGCTCCGAGCAGGAGAGCGACACGTCGGAGCCTGGCTCCGGCTGCAGCTCTGCTCCCGTGTGGGTCCCTGTTCCTCTCCGATTTCCCTGCCCTGGCATTGGACCCAGGAGTCCTGTGTTGTTTCTTTGCAGCATTGTTCATTCTCCCTATTGCTTTCAGCAAGCTCCTGAGCCAACCTGTTTGGCCAGCTTGACAGTTTTCTCCCTGTAGACCTGAACAGGCTCAGCTCGCTGCTGCCAGGCAGCTGGAAATAACTTCTCTCTTGGCTGGTCCTTCTGTTCCAGAAATATGGTGTTCCTCTGGGCCCTGGGGCTGCTCTGCCTGCCTGCTCTCCACAGTCACCTAAGGGTAAGTCTTCACTCCAGAGATGGTGGGGAGCTCTGTGCTCATAGCCAGCAAAGGGCAAGGGGATTGTGGTGGCTCTCCTTGGGCAAACACCACCTGCTGCTTCTGCCTCACAAGCCCTGGAAGGCAGACTGGTGGCTGCTGCTCTCCTGTGGGGTTAGCCTGTGCCCCAGCACAGCAAGGTTTCTGATCTTTTTCCCAGCTAATATAGCTGTGGGTATTCTCATTATTCAAGTGGGTTTCATTAGAAAATCTTTGGAAACTTGGCTTCAACTGTATTTAGTGTCCCTGACCTTCAGGGGTTAACACAAGACTGTTTAATAATGGCTTTTTTTTTCCCTTTCTTTCTTTCTACATTATAAATCTGGATCCCTGTCAGATCTGAGATTGCAAAACCACACAGCTCACTCTCTAGGGGATACATTATTTTGTACCATTCTGGCCTGGTCCCTTTCTAAACAAATCCAGTATCTGCAGTCTGTCCCAGCTCCTGCTCACTGCCACCTCCCCACAGTGGACCCTGCTGCCTCAGGGTCTGCATCCTGAAGCCCTGCCCATGGTGTAGCCACGCAGGGACTGCTACAGCCAGGCTGGTGCCAGTCTCTGACCTGGCCCCACAGGAATGTGTTAGGAGTGGGGGCAGAAAAAAACAACTCTGGAAATTCAGAAGAAATTTTCTGGGACCTAACTTGACTTTGTTGGTTCCTCCCTCCTACAGTTTTCTTCAGCACATGTCATTGAGCAAAAGCACCTCTCCTTAGACAAAGATGAGAAGCTGAAGGTAAGCAATGACTGGTTCCACCTAAGGGGACTGAAGTTATGCTGTGGTATTTCATAGAATTGGTTTGGCTGGAAGAGACCTTTAAGATCATTGAGTCCAACCATCAACCCAGCACTGCCAGGTCCCCACTGCCCCGTGTCCCTCAGCACCACATCTCCACAGCTTGGGAACCCCTCCAGGGATGGGGACTCCACCACTGCCCTGGGCAGCCTGGGATAGGCCTGGACAAACCTTTCAGTAAAGACAAATGTCCAACCTAAACTTCCCCTGATGCAACTTGAGGCAATTTCCTCTTGTCCTATTGGTTGTTCCATGGGAGAAAAGACTGGCTCCCATCTGGATCCAGCCCCCTTTCTGTGAGTTGTCAAGAGCCAGAAGGTCACCCCTGAGCTTCCTTTTCTCCAGGCTGAACAACCCCAGTTCCCTCAGCTGCTCCTGACAAGGCTTCTGCTCTAGACCCTCCACCATTTGCAATGGTTTTCCATTTTGTCCTAAGATGGGATAGGTCCAGGCAGTGCAATCTAGCAGCACCAGCACAGTGAGAAAATCCATCTTTGTGCAGGCTTCCCTGCCCAC